GCTCATTTATCAAAAACTGAGAGTGTTGTATTAAAACATCCCATTACCATTCTGGATATTTCTGTTTCTTCCTGTAATTTTGTCAAATTTTTTTTACTTTATTTATTTTTAATCTCTGCTGCTATATTCTCAAGAGGTGTTATGTTCTCCTGACAGATTTAAACTTTATTAATATACAATGATATTCCTTATCTCATGTGATAAAGATCGTTCTGTCAAAAGGTCGACATTGTGACACCATGATATTAGTTAGAACCATATGAAATTGCCAATTTTGTAGATCAAATTGCAATTTCGCATTGCAATCTAATAGCATTGGAAGTTTTGTTGATATTGTGTGCTTATGTATGGTTAAGTGTGTCTCTTTTAAACAGAATGAAGCTTGACTTAAAAAAAAATGTAGTCTGATGATCTATGCCAGTTTTAATGTCTCTTGGTAAACTTAGTATACTTGGATTTACTTGTATCATTTTATTTTGTACTTCCTATTTGTCCCAAAATGTGTGATTTTTTTTCTCTTTCCATGCTTTCTTTTTTTTCCTTTTGCTTTCCAGTCTTTTTCCTTTAACAACTTTGGAATGTAAGCATTCAGTTATTATTTTTTTAGTGATTACTTTGATATTTTAATACGCATAGCTGGCAAAGTCTAACAGTAATCAGTATCTTTACCCTCTGCCCAACAATACAATCAACAATTACTAGGATAAAGTAAATTCTAATCACTTCCTCCCAGTTTCCCACTATTTTAGCCCAAACATTTAGCTCATTGTTGCTTTGTTTTTACCCCACAAATTGGACATTATTATTGATTTATGTAGATGAAATTATATACATTTTGTCCTTCAGGAATTTTAATTAGATACATGTTGGCCCTTAATTTCAATTTCCATGTTTATCAACCTCACTTACATTTTCCATCTACTTGTCACTACCCTCCGTGTTTTATAGGATTTTTAAAGATCTATATCACAGTTCACTAATTTTCTATTTATTTGCTTCCATTACCCTATGTAACACTTTCATTAAGCTTTAAGTGCATTTATTATGGTTTTCAATTCTACAATTTCTAGAAGCTGGTGCTTTTTTAATTATGTGGCTTAACAACCCTGCAGCCCAAAGTTAGAGTTCCTTTCTCAGAGTCTAATGTTTATTCCTACTTACTTTTTGTGCTCTTCCCCAGAATGCAATAGGCCCAACACCTTCTACTACTTCTACTTCCGTTAGTTTACCCGCTAATACTGGTGTGTGGTCTGATGGTCCGTACTTATTTGCTTAGAAGCAACCCTGAATCATGATTCTAGACAATATCACAATGATAGGCAAATGAGACGAACACTTGGCCTCACAGCTACTAAGACTTACTACAAAGCTGTTATATTAAAAACAGTATGATATCCATTCAAAAAGAGAGAAATTGACCTCAAGACCATAATTTCTGTGAGAAAGACTCATATCTCAGAATTATTATTATATAATAAAGATGGCATCGCAAATCAGACTATTTAGTAAATGGTGATAATTGCTCATAGTGGAGGAAAATCCATACCTACCACCACATACAAAGATACAATCCAGATATATTAAAGAAATAAATCCAGAGAAACCATAAAGGCAGGAGATAATGTGCCCTAGGGTTAGAGAGGAACTTCTTAAACAAAATTTCAAAAGCATCATTAATGCATTTAATCACATCAAATTAAGAATTTTTGTGAATAAAGTTAACAAAAAGATGTTGCAGAGATATTATATTTGCCATGTCTAAAACCACAAGGGAATTATTATCTGGGATATATAAGGAACTCATATGCACATGAAGAAAGTTATAAGAATCTCAAATTTTAAAGATGAGTAAAGGATATTTGGGTCAATTCATAGCTAAAAAAACCCAGAGGTTTAACAAAACATATGATTGTTGTCCAAAGTCATTAGTCAACAGAGAAAAGCAATTTAAAACAACAAGAAAAGTGATACTACCTTAGGCCCATCAGATCCTAAATACGAAGAATTCAGTGACAAAAACAAGAAACACAACACCATGTATGTAACTTAAAACTACGTGAAATAATGCATGGTTTACATTAATGCTTTCAAAGTGAATAATACAAGCCAAATATAAGTTGGGAAATTGGAGGTGAGGAGTGGACAAGAGGCCTTGCAAAGACTAATAAGCATCAGACGACCAGAACTGCAGGAGATTACTAAGGAACCCTTGCGTCTTTAGTATAAAGCAAAACCATAGTGCACAGATACTATTGTCATCCTGGATTCCCAATTTCATGGGAAATTCCTAATTTCGTCCTATTCCCAAGATACCCAGCTCAGAAGCACCATCTTCTAAGCTCTGCTTCCCTGAGAATCCCCTGCTTCCCCACAGGCCTACTCATTTTTCTGTACACTGTGGATAAGATAGATGGCTCTTTACTCTTTTTTTTTTTTTAACATTTTATTTACTTTTGCAAGACAGGGAGAGAGACAGAGCATGAGCAGGGGAGGGGTGGAGAGAGAGGGAGACACAGAATCCGAAGCAGATTCCAGGCTCTGAGCTGTCAGCACAGAGCCCGATGCAAGGCTCCAACCCAAGAACCTTGAGATCATGACCTGAGCTGAAGCCGGGTGCTTAACCGACTGAGCCACCCAGGCGCCCCAATTCTTTACCCTTTATTTATCTTCCCATAAAAATGTAGCACCAGAATAAACAAGTGATGGGGATATGTATGTGTATATATATATTTTTTTTTCCTCTCATTTTCTTGTATCCTTTATTCTACCCATTCACTCAGAATAATTCATTGCTTTAGGAAGGGATAATATAGCATAGAAGCAAAGAAAACCTTTTTGGTGCCAAAAGTACAACAAGGAAGTACATAAATCCCAGGCCATAAAACACCATATTTGGAAAATTAGATAAAGAACTAGTCCAGCCTGTCTTCAGACTACATTAAGATGGTAAGGACCGCAGGGGACAAGGAGAATCATAGCAGAAGCAGAGCTGAAACGACTATGGGTTCCTGAGGAGCATGTCCTGTAAGAAGGTCTCCCAAGAGGGAATTGGGAATCCAAGATCACACCCAACTGGGCCACTACCCCCAGGAGGAAAACCAGAGCCATTCAAGACTCCTGTATTCCTATCCCTCATCTTGTCTCCCCAGAGCCATTCAAGATTCCTGTATTCCTATCCCTCATCTTGTCTCCCCAGCATGGCACCGGGACAGGCCTGAGGCCACCTCGTAGAACATCCTGCAACAATGCAGGAACGATGGCGCCTGTGCCTGACGGCAGAGCAGAGACAGCTGTTCTGAGAGCCCTTCCTAGATGGAAGGTGTAAGGTCGCCATGGGAATAGGGACCCCTTGGATGAGCCCACGTGGATGAAGAGTTTATGTGGATGAAGAATAGTTTCAAGGAAAAGCCATCTCCATCTTTTCTCAAGTCTCTGCCCTAGAACTTAGACATAACCACACAAAAATGAGGGACATTCCACTAAACCAGGGGTTCTCAATGTACTGCTATTTGGCACCCCAGGAGACATTAGGCGATGTCTGGAGACACCTGTTGCTGTCACAACTGGGAAGTGCTACTGGACTCTGGTAGGCAGAGGTCAGGGATGCTACTGAACATTCTATAGTGCACAGAACAGTCCCCCAAACCAAGGAATTACCCAGCTCAAAATGTCAGTAGTTTCAAGGTTGAGAAATATTTCCTTAGACTGAGGTTAAATCTTGACCACTCAGCCTAAAAAGAAATGTATAATAAAAATTGTTTATTTATTCTAGAATAAAGAAAATGACACCTAGCCCCTGGTATTAAATGCACAACCATCTACTTATGCTAAGGAATAAATTTTTTTTAATATGAAAGAATCAATAGCCCATCAGTTTGCATTTAATGAAAGGGATCTGAGAAGGGAAAAAAAGTTTAAGTCGCTTCAAAGTAAGACAAAGTGTCCCCACATGAGGAAGAAACAGAAATGGAGGCATGAAAACAGACACTAAAAGTTCACGACAATATCTGAATCAAATGAGAGGAAGAAAGTCATCCATGAAGCAGCGTGCAGAGAAGGAGTTGTTCCTCACCAAGGACAATGAGAAATATTAGCATTTTTTTAGAGAGGTGAAATTGTATTTCTTCCAGACTCTGTACTTAAAGTTTACTAAGAAGGAGGCATGTGAACCCCAAGACCACCCACTTGCCAAGAAGAAAGCAGAAGGAAAACTTGGAAGCACTTTCAAAACTACCATGAATGAAAGCAAAAGTCAGAAACAATAGGGGCGCTTAGGTGGCTCGGTGGGTTAAGGGTATGACTTCAGCTCAGGTCATGATCTCCCCGTTTGTGGGTTCGAGCCCTGTGTTGGGCCCTGTGCTGACAGCTCAGAGCCTGGAGACTGCTTTGGATTCTGTGTCTCCCCCTTGCTCTGCCCCTCCCATGCTCATGTCCTGACTCTCTGTCTCTCAATAATAAATGTTAAAAAAAAATTTTAAAGCCAAAAACAATAAAAAAAAGGAGGAAAGGAGAAGGGGAGAAGGGAGGGAGAGGAAAGAGGAACACAGGAAGGGGGGCATGGGGGCGGGGAGAGAAAGAATGAGCTAGAAACAATCCCAAGGGGTAATAAATAAATTACTCGTATGTAATGACATGCCGAAGTGTTCCATTTTTATGTGAAAGCAAATAACTATGAAGTATCACCAACATAAACACTGATTAAAGGAGATGAAATGTCTTGAGATGAAATGTCATAACATTACACAGTGTCAGTTTGCGGTGTTCTCAAAATGTTAATGACCTCCAGCTTCAGCTGCTTCCATTACCAGGGATCTCAGGGGAGAGAAACCTAAGCTGCAGGGCTCCCAGGAGGAGCCCAGAACCTAGTCCCATCACCTTGCTGTTAATAGATAAAACTTCATTGAAAATGATCCGGTGACACTTGGCCATAATTCAGAAGGGACTACATTTTTTAAAAAAAGAATTTTTCTTTTATCAGAAAGGACTTAAGTTTATCTTACCGTTTCAATAATGTTCCAGACCTGATTCAGTCAGTCTTCAATACTCTTTGGAATAAGTTTTCTATTCTTCTCACAGTGACATTTCCCCAGCACCGGGAGAACCTGCAGGAAATTTAGGAAGTGAGAGTTCATCATTTTACAAACGAATTCTGCACCAAAAAAAAAAAAAAAAAAAAAGGCGTGAGCCAGGCTGAATTTTAACTGTTTTACTAGGACTGATCCCAGAACCCTTCATGAAGTGTTAGAGTATAGTCTCAGTGCCCCTCATGCCGTGCCCCTCATTTATTTTAATAAAAAATCATTAGTACCTTCGATGTCCACCATTATATTTGCCTCAGAGCCAAACAAAATAGGTTATCACCCGGTGGTCACTTTATGGATGAGTCATTCTCTCCCACCTATTCTACTGACCCGGTTTCTCTCACACAGCCAGGACACGTGCTTCCCATCTCCCTGGCGACACTTTGGAACATGGGAACCCCAGTATACATGTATCTGTTGCCTTTGCGCTTCTGCAGTGTGTAAGTACATACCGATGGTTATGGCTGGTGCAGTTTTGTCTGCCTTTGTTCAATGAGTGCTTACTGAGTTTTTATTAAACACAGCCCCCTCAGTTCCCTCTCTCAAAAAATGTCTAATATCAGGAGAGACAGGAAGAACAATATGGGTCAGTATAAATAAGTGTCCTTCCCATGTCCAATTTGAGCGCTCAGTAAATAAGAGGAATAAGATAAGTCTTTCAGCTGGAGATATCAGAGAAGCTTCAGGAGAGTTACACAAAAGGGATTTTGTAAATTTTAACAGAATGGTGACTTTCTATCTGCCCTGAGTAGCCACTAGGTATATTTACATTTAACTTGATTTAGATTTATATTAAGTATACTGAAATAGGGGCCAGCATGGGTATCTCCATCAGGTAAGTGTCCGACTCTTGATTTTGGATCAGGTTGTGATCTCACAGTTCGTGAGATTGAGCCCCATGTTGAGCACCACACTGTCAGTGCAGAGCTTACTTGAGATTCTCTCTCTCCCTCTCTGCCTCCCCCCTTCCCTCTCAAAATAAAGAAGGAAATATTTAGAAAGGGTATACAGAAATAAAATTTAAAATTCAATCACACTAGCTGCATTTTAAGTGTTCAATAACCACATGCGGCTAGTGACAACCATATTGGACATTTCCAGCACTGCTGTAAGCTGAAGAAATGGTATAGTTACACATGAGAAACTCCAGGTATTGTATAGGTGGCTAGACATCAGGAAACACTCCACATTTGCTGCAACATAGGGTGGGGAAAAATAGTAGTGGAAGACAGGACTGGAAAAGGAGTTTGAAATCAAATTGGAGTGAGTCTTGAATATATTCATCTGAAATCAAAGCTTTTGTGAAGCAGAGAACTGAGATTTAGGGTTAATTTGGAAAGGTGTAAGACGATGACCTGAAAAAGCAACTAGACAAGGAGTCCTCAGCCATGGCTGCACATTAGAATGTGGAGGAAATTCCTTACCCAAAACCCAGGCCACATCCCAGATGAATTAAATCAGAATCACTGGGTGTGAGACCCATCAATGGCTTTTAAATATCCCCAAATGATTTCAATAGGCAGGTGTTTGGGGACAGCCACTGGTACTACGTGCATGACGTCATTTCTCCCACTTGTGCCATTAATACCCTCTTTCCTCTGATGAACTTCCCCTTAGACTTTCTACCAAATGCTGTTAGAGTTGCCAATCACTATAAGCTGCTTCCCTGGTCACAAGATGTGGCTTAGGAACCAAACGTTGGCAAATCACAATAGGCTAGTATTGCTGGCTGTGGTGATCGTCCCAGATTTAGACTACAGTCCAAGTCAGGCAAATGAAAGCCTGTTCTGAGATTTGGCATACATATTCCTAGCGAGAAGGCTCTCTATTTAATGTAGGAGGCCACTAAACTGGGATGGCATTAGCTTAAAAATCTCTGTGAATGTGTTCCTCTCATTGCCACCAACCCAGCAGTGCAGGGTACAAAGCCATCCACGCAAGAAGATCACAAAATTCGCAGGTACCAGCACAGTTGAAAGATTTGAGGGTGGGAGTGCCAGTAAAGGGAGACAAAGAAGATCTGGTGATATATCTTGGGTTCCTGGTGGAATCCCTGGGGCCAGTTCCCCCTCTGGATTTCCCAGTCATATGAATCAAGCAACGACCTACTACTCTGGTTTGTTTTCTTCCCGCTTAAATTTGAGATGGGTTTGAATCATCATGTTTAATGGTAAAAAATATAGAGATGTAGAATGTGGCTTTGCCAAACATACTTGACCATGTTAGAATACCTCTTAACAACTTATGGAACACTAATCTTTTTTTCCAAAGAGCTACAGAGGATAACTGAAGTGTGAGGGCCCTCTCTGAGTAGAATAACCATGGCAAACTCACTTGTAAACTAACAGCAAGATATTATAAGTGGACTTAAGCTAAGAGAACCAAAGAGCAAGAGGGAGAATGTGTGAGAGCGCTGTGGTACCTAAATGGTGGGTGGGTAGGGCGCCTCAGTGGTTTAATCAACTAAGACTTGATTTCAGCTCACGTCAAGGTCTCACGGTTCCTGAGTTCCAGCCGCATGTCAGGCTCCTTGCTAAGAGGTCAGAGAGGCTGCTTAGGATTCTCTTTCTTTCTCCCTCTCTCTCCGCTCCTCCCCTGCTCACTCTTCCACTCTCTCAAAACAAAGAAATAAACTTTATAAATAAATAAATAAATAAATAAATAAATAAATAAATAAATAAAAAGGTGGGTGGGAAAGGGAAGTGAGTCCTAAGGAGGAAGCCAGGGCAAAGTAGTAAAAGGGGTTCTGTCATCTCCTATATCTGACCACAAGTCCTTGAGTTGTATATGAACACACACTCAATCCGTGTTGGCTGCACAGAAAATTGTTCCACTTTAGATAGCTCCTTTCTTAGTAACTCCATGGAACATATATATTAAAACAAACCCAGGGCCATTGCCAATTCAAAGGGGCCACCTCTCCACATGATGGGGCCCATCCATCCTTGGCAAGAGGATGTTAGCCTGTGACCAAACCAAAGTGTGTACCTAAGCGTGAAGGGCTCAAAGGACCAACTTTTAGTCAAAGATTGGGAGCACAGACAAAAATTTCCATAGCGTATGTGCACTCGTGCCTAGTTCACTATACCCAAAGACTCCCTTTTGAGTCTGTTTAATTGACCAGGATTAGAGATCACAGCCAGTTCTCGAACTCTTTCCACCTAGAAAGCACAACCAATAACCTACACATCTCTTTTGCCCAGCCATCCCCAGGTATGGATTAATAGGGGCTTATTGTGTTCTGTGTTAATGAATCATGAGTGGAAGCCAGTGAAGCAGACAATGTATCAGAAGCAGGAAACATAATTGGTTGGATGAGCAAAGGAGACAGGCATTAGATCTGCTCACAGGAAGGGGAAATAAGGCTTTGATCAAAGAAGAAAATATCCGGTCATGTAGGCATCGTTTGAACTCTTGCAATCCTTCCACTGCTGGTATTTCCTATCATTTTTACTTGGGGACCCAACATTTACTTACACCACCTCAGGCATTTTATGTAACTTAGCTCAGGCAATTTTCAGATGCCAGTCTTCATAGGATGTGCTCTGTATTTTAAAGAAATTTTACACTTTATTTCCATTGATAGCATTTGAAAATGTAGACTTCTGTGACATATGATGAAGAGAAATCTCTTCCCTGATGGGAGTTTGCTCAAAATGCCCCTTTAGAAGGCCTCTTCCCGTTCTAATAGTGAATGACTAATTTAAAAGATGTGTCAATGCAGAAAAAGTCTGAGAGATAAGATCTTGAAAGTCAAAAGCAGAGAATGGAGAGAATGTGAGAAATTTTGTTCTATCATTTCCATAATCAGGGGGAAAAAGCATTTTAGGCAAATCCCTTTGGATTTGCTAAATAAACAATATTTGTGGATAAGAAAATCACAAGACCGTTGGCATTTGAAGAATGCAGCCATCTCAGTATTCACTGTATCAGTCATACAATGACACTTGGTTTTCACCAAGCTTCACGGGGTCCAGATCACCTACAAAGATGAAGTGAAGGTTGTGTGTTCTGAACAGTAGTAACAGGCTACTTGATCATGAGAATCGCAAGCATTTTCCAAAATTGGACTGGTTTTGTCAGAGCCATAGGGATTTAGATACCCTCCTGGTGAAAAATATCTTCCCATTCCATCAATTTGTTTATTAGGGGGAAAAAGTACTGTACCCTAAACTGTGGACTTCAAACCTTCTTCTTAAAGTCAATAGATGTCTGTATGAAATTTAAAGATCCCACAGGTTGGTAGGAGAAAATAGAGTCCTTTGAGTTTGCTTTCTACATCCCCTCCAAATCCTAGAGATGCCAACGAGTAAATTTTACAAACCACTATGCCAAATTGTTTTCTTCATCGGCTGACAAGCAGGGCACCCCGAAGTTGTACAGCATAGCAGACCAGTCTGAATGGCCTGAGCCAGCAATTAATTTGTTAGAACCAGGACGTTTTTGTATCTTGCTGAGTCTCCTATAAAAATGCAAATGTTCCTGGGAGGAGCAGCATCTTAAGCAATCATGAGGGATTATTTTATCAACTCCATTTGCAGCTTGGAAGCAGAGCTGACAGCAAAGCCTTGTAGGACTGGGCACAGATAACGGAGGTAAAGGAACTGAAACAGACGTAACCAAGGAAAAACTTTACTTCCCGAATACACTGAAGAGGCTAGCAATAGTTTTGAAATAAAGATTATTATACGGGGGCCTGGGTGGCTCAGTTGGTTCAGTGTCCAACTTTGGCTCAGGTCCTGATCTCACAGTTTGTGGGTTTGAGTCCCGTGTCGGGCTCTGTGCTGACAGCTCGGAGCCTGGAGCCTGCCTCAGATTCTGTGTCTCCCTCTCTCTCTACCTGTTTCCCCACTCACACTCTTTCTCTCTGAAAAATAAACAACAACAACAAAATTATAAAATGGCTAACATTTGAATGCATCTTGAGTGCCAGAATTTCTTCCAAGTCTCACTTTATGTATGAGCTCATATTGTGTATTCCTTTATTCCTTTATGTATTAACCACAGCCACATGGTGAAAG